ATCAGTAGGCTGTTCTTGACCAGGAAATAGGACACAGCCCTCCACTTTCTCCTTTGCTTCCTCAATGTGAGATGACCACCTTTGTTCCACCTTACCTTCTTGCCGTGATGCTACATCACAAGCCCAAAAGCACTGAAGCCAAATGACTATAGACTTTGACCTCCCAAACTGTGAGCCAAAACAAACCTCTCTCTCTCTCTCTGTTTTTTGTTTGTTTGTTTGTTTGTTTTGTTTTGTTTTGTTTTGTTTTGTTTTGAGACACAGTTCCCCTGTAGCCCCAGCTGTCCTGGAACTCGCTATGGAGACCAGTCTGGCCTCGATCTTACAGAGGTCTGCCTGCCTCTGCCTCCAAGTGCTGGGATTAAAGTCATGTGCCACCATGCCAGGCAAAACTTTTCTCTTTGTAAATTGACTATCCCAGATATTTTTGTAGTAATGGGAAGTTGACCAGTACAAAGCTTAATTGAGTTGGGCGTGGTGGTGCACACCTTTAATCCCAGCACTCAGGAGGCAGAGGCAGGCAGGTCTCTGTAAGAGTGAGGCCAGCCTGGTCTACATAGTGAATTTCAGGCCAGCCTGGGCTGCAGAGAGACCCTGCCTCAAAAAATTAATTAATTAAATTTAAAAATTAATATTTTTAAAAAGCCTTAATTGTTTTCCACCAAAAGGAGCCAGGGCTCCTTTAATGTCAGCCTGGAGGCACAAACATCTCAGAATGGGCTCCAATTCTGGGTCTAGAATATTCACTTCCAAAGGATCAGGGGATACATTACAGCAGCAAAGAAGTCAACTCACTAGGACTCTTGTAGCAAATGTGTGGCAATTTGAACAGTAAAATAATAATGGGCCTTCCACTTCTGCCTAACAAGTAATAAAGGAGATCCAGTTTACCTCGCGTCGGTGGAGCCTCCATCTCCACAGGCACAGATCAGCTCCCACCCATACCAAGGGTCAGGTTCGGGTCCCCCATGTGATCCCTCCCCCCATCGCTTGGCATTCAGCCAGACTTTGCAGTGCAGAGGACTCAGTGGATCACTTATCATTCAGGCCTCACAGTAACCTTGGGAGGTAGGAGAGACAGGCACCACTGGCCCTGAGACAGAGCAGGAGCTGAATTCAAGACTGCGTGAAGGGGTGCAGGGTAAGGGTGGGCCTAGTATCTGGGTCTTCCCTGTTGTTCCTGAGTTCGTGTCACAGACAGATGCTGACTTGGGGTCTTCTGCTAGGGTGTTGGTGTGGGATAAATTGGAATGGTGACTCTTTATAGTGAGTCCTCATCTGAGGACTAAGGTTCTCCATCTGTGCCTCTGGGACATGTGGTCTGCCTCTCAGTCCTCTGTTTTTTACATCTAGGGCCTAGCTATGTAGAGCCTGGCATGGACTGGGCCTAGCAGTATAAATTCTATACAAAAACAGCTCTTGCTGTGCCTCACTCACTGAAGGAATTAATAGGGTCATACTCTTCACAATCACCCAAAAGTTCTCCTGCCAAATAGGGGAGAAAGTTAAGTCCTCCCTCTGTTGGCTCGCTCCTTCCCCATGAATTAGCCTAACCTCTGGGAGGCTTTGTTAGTCCAGGCTTTCCAACTTCCCCTCCCAGGGCAGTTGATGACCAAGCTGCCACTGCTTCCCATGACCACATGGTGTCACTCTTGAGGGCTTAAAACCAAACCTGTCCCCTCAGCACCACAGGCAACTACATACTCCCTTCAGTTCCTATAGACTAGGTTCTAGAGCCCAGACTTCTAACATCCTGTGGAGCCCTATCTTGAGGCACCAGCAACATGGGGTGCCAGTTACTGGCCAACTACCTCTGGTGGTTCAAGTACTTACCTGTCTTTCCAAGGGCTCCATGCCCCCAGAAAGAGAGCAGGTTGTTGTTAACCCTAGAAGACAGGGTTTCCTTACACCTCTTCCTTCCTTCCTTCCTTCCTTCCTTCCTTCCTTCCTTTCTTCCTCTCTCCCTCCCTCCCTCCCTCCCTCCTTCCTTCGTTCCTTCTTCCTTCCTTCCATTTTTGAGACAGAGTCTCCCTGTAGCCCCAACTGGCCTGGAACTTGCTATGTAGATCAGGATAGCCTCAAACTCAGAGATCTGCCTGCCTCTGCCTCCTGAGTGCTGGGATCAAAGGCGTGCGCCACCACACCCAACCTACCTCCTGTTTCTTTTTAATTTTTAAAATTTTATGTGTATGAGTGTATTGCCTGCATGTATGTGAGTGCACCAGTGTCGTGCAATGCTGCGGTAGTCAGAAGAGGGCTTTGGATTCCCTTGGAACTGGAGTTAAGGACGGTTTGTAGCCACCATGTGGGTTCTGAGAATTGAACCCGGGTCCTCTGTAAGAGCAATCAGTGCTCTTAACAGCTGAGTCATCTCTCCAGCCCCCCACCACCTGTTTCTTAAGGTCTAAGTGTCCCTCAAGGCCCAGCCATCCCCTCACAAAGTCTGACTATGGAGCCTCCATCCTAGACCAGGCAACTAATCTTCAGAGTCTATGGGGACTAGAGAGATGGCTTCAAAGTTAAGAGCACTGGCTACTCTTGCAGAGGGCCCAGGTTTACTTCCCTGCACCCACATGGTAGCTCACAACCATCTGTAACTCCAGGTCCAAGGAATCCAATGCCCTTTTGGCATCTATGGTCACCAGGCACAAATAAAGTACACATACATACATGCAGGAAGACAAATACACATAAAATAAAAATAAATCTTTTTTAAAATGTGATATATCAGGGCGCTAGAGAGTTGGCTCAGTAGTTAAGAGCACTGGCTACTCTTGCAGAGGACCAGGTTTTGATTCTCAGTACCCACATCATGACTAACAACTGTCCATAGCTCTAGTTCCAGGGAATCTGACACTCTCTTGTGTCCTCCATGGCATTGCATGACACGGATGCACTTACATACATGCAGGCAATACACTCATAAAATTTTTAAAAAATAATAAAAATGTGATATATCAGCCAGCAGGATTGCTCAGTGGTAACGGTCTTGCCAAGTCTGATAAACTGAGTTTGATCCCCAGAACCCATATAGTGGAAAGAGAGGATCCTGGAAATTGTCCTCTCACGTCCACACACTTGTGCCACAGCATGTGTACACACACACACACACACACACACACACACACACACACACACACAAACATGAAGTAAAATAAAAATGTAATAAAATATGATTACATTGTGTGTGAGAGAGAGAGAGGATGACTGTATGTGGGTGGTTACATGTGTGCCACAGCACACATGTGGAGGTGAGGGGGCAACTTTCAGGGGTCGGTTCTTTCCTTCCATCATGTAGGCCCTGTGGATAGAACTCGGTTTGTCAAGCTTGGCAGTGGGAACCTTTTACCCACTGAGCCATCACCTTGGCTGTTAAATTTTTTAATTATATTTTACTTCTGCCTCGCTCTTACCTAGGAAAAATACTCAACACTCATGGGTGGCTTCTGACTACTGCCAACAATCTCCAGATTCCCAGAGCGCAACACAGTGACAAAGGAGCCTCTGCTAGGAGGGATAGTGACATCCACTCATGAATCCCAGTGTCTACCTAGGGTGGAACTCAGGCAGAGGCCTGAGCACTGTTCCAGAAAATGAAGTGGCTCTGGGACTTGGGAACATCAAAGATGAGGGTCTTACAAGCTTGTTCCAGGCAGTCTGAGCCAACCCCTGCTAGTGAAGGCGGTCCCTGTCACGCTGAGCCAAGACCCAGGGACAAAAGAGCAGAGGCCTGGGAGCTTCTCAAGGCTCTGCCCTTCCATCCATAAAGCCCACTCGAGATTTCTGAGCTGGAAGGGAGCACATTTTCTCAAGCTCAGCCTTGGAGCATCTCAGGGGAGCTCTCCTGCTACAGAACTGGGAGGCCGTCTGTAGTTACTTACACATTCCCTGACAGGAACTTGGATCCGCATTGCCAACTTTGAGGTGTTTTTCTTTCTGCTTCTGTTGTGGCCACATTCCCATGCTGTTTGTGGGCAGATCCCATACTCTTGTTAGAGCTGAGTAACTGCCTGCGAGAGCAACATGGGTAGCTAACCATGAAGTGGCTGTGTAAACATGGGACACACATGGACACCTGGTACATAGGTATGCAGGAAGCATTCCTGGCAATCTACAGTGATACCCACCCTAGCTACTTGCAGTACCGGTCCCTCCAGAGCCCAGGACAGACATCTCTCCAGTTGGAACACACTTGCTTTGGCCAGCTACTGCTCAAGAGGTCCTTTCCTAGAATTCAGGACATTTTTTTAAAGACCCCAAAACAACTGCGGTGGCTTCATAGCTCTGGTACATTCATTCGAGCATTGGCACAGACTAACTACCCTGGGGAGTATGTTGGCACTTTGATCTCATTAAGGATTCCATGAGTTTCCCCAGGAAAAGCAGAGCTATCTCCTTTCTCTTAGCACCCAGAGAAACATGTCCTTTTCTAACAAAAGGATGCTGTAAAGTTGCAGACATTTGCATCAAGTTCAAAACCTGGTCCATTTGGCGACAGAAACAAAATTTAACTTTTTTTAAAATAAGCATTTGTAATGTTTGTATTGTTAAAATAGAAACAGCTTGCCAGGCGTGGTGGCACACGCCTTTAATCCCAGCACTCAGGAGGCAGAGGCAGGCGGATCTCTGTGAGTTCAAGGCCGGCCTGGTCTACATAGTGAGTTCCAGGACAGCTGGGGCTACAGGGAGACCCTGTCTCAAAAAGACAAATAAAAGAAAAAAAAAAGAAAAAAAAGAAACAGCTTTCATTTTCCTATCAAAAGGAGTGGTATGGGCTTCGGTGAGAAGCAGCTGTCACCTCTGACAGGCTTTGTCCTAACACTCAGAAGACTGTGGCTCTAGGGTCTGACTGTAATACTTGTCTCCCAGCTGTAAACAGCTGATCAAAGGCACTTTTGTGAAGTCCTAAGAGTTGATGGATTTGTTTGCTGATTGACAGCAAAGGGCTGTGGACGTGGGGTCAATGCCAGTGGCTTTTCGTTCCTTGGTTCCTGAGATGCTGTGGCTCCAGGCTGTGTTCTGAGGATGTGTAGGCTGGCAGTGGTTCTCAGGAGAGGTAAGAACTGAGAGAGGCTGCTGTGTTGGTGGGGAATGCAGCATAAGGTGAGACCTGTTCTTTCCTCAGCAAAAGCTGTTCCCTTGACCCTCACACTCTTTTTTGAGACAGGATTTCACTACCTAGCCTGGTCAAGCCTCAAACGCACAATGATCCTCCTGCCTTGGTCTGATGAGTGCTGAGATTCCAGACATGTGCCAGCGCTCATGGCTCCCTGAACTCTTTTGTACCATTGCTCTCACCAGCTCTTCAGGTGGGGCTGCCTCCTGCTTTCTACACACCTGAGCAAGACTCACCCTGAAGGTCCCACAGAAGCCTGCCCTCCTTCCTCAGAAGCCCTCTATATTTTCTCATCTGTCAACTGGGAATGTGTGAGGGCTCCTTTGGCTTCAATATTGTGACTACCTTCCACCCAAGCAGGGAGAAGGGGAAGAGGCCCACATCAGCCAGGTTGCTGGCCAGAAGGAAGCCAGAGCAGTTCTATAGGCAGTGGCACACACCACAATGGCATCTGGGACTTGGACACTGCCAGACCAACAGGGTTAGAAGGGCCTCCAAAATCCTCCAGGACTCTCGCTCAGAGAGGAAAACTGAGGCCCAGAGAGTAGGGTGAGCTCTGCATCCCATGGCAAGTTAATATAATAGCTGGGATTTCAGAGCCGTCTGTGGCTCCCCTCCCACTGCCTTCTTCCTTTCACATCCCACCAGGGGAATCTGGTAGGCTGTGGCTTGGAGAAGAGCTAAGGAAAAGTCTGAAACTCAGGCCCTAGTCCTTGCACCTGCAGCCTGCCCCTTACTTCAGAGCTGTTAGAAATGCAGTCTTCGGCCCTACCAAGACCTATGCACTCAGGGTCTGCCTGCCAACTATATCCTTGGGCCATTCATATGCACATGGAGTTAACTGTCTTCCTTTGGAGAAACCTTAGTGTGGAGAATAAGGACACACTTGATGGAATCTTCCAAAGGCCTGTGGCACAGATACCAAGAGGGATTCACCTTTCCCCCACCTGGAGAAGCAGTTAGGACTCCAGGGAAACCACACAGCCAGGCCACCCTTCAGAATGAGAGGAAGGTCCCAGACATGTGGCCCCGCATCTGCTTGTCCTCAGCCTCAGTCTGCCAGACCAGCAACAGCCAAGCAGGACTGACTGAGACTCTGAAAAGTTCAGTTTTAGACGATCCAGACGTAGCTGTATTCCAGAGGTGGTTCCATTCTGGCTGGGCATAGGTGGAGAAAAGTGGTGCCCTCTGTCTCCTGCACAGTTCACACAAGGCCTGGTCAGTAGTGACCAGGTCTGCTCCGCCAGCTCAGCGGCAGTACTCCCGCTCAATGCTGGCCATCAGCTCCTCTTCAGAATAGTCATAGGAGATGGTCGACTGCCCCTCAGTCCTCTTGTGGCTGCTGCCTGGAGCCCTGTGGGTAAGAAACACAGACACAGGTAGACATTATCTTATAACTCTCATCTTCACTGGCAACCACAGTGGTCTTTAACAGATCCATCCTAACACCCAAACCTCTGCTCCAGGGACACCTAAATCTCTTTCCTACCCAACACATGGACATGATCACCCTCACTCATTCTCTGTCTTCATCATCCCATATTATTCACCAAGTTTTGTGGTGAAGGAGAAGCAGGTACATGCAGAATGAGTGAGGAGGGTCTGAGGTTCAAATGCAAGTACCATCACAGGGCTCAGCCACTGAGGGTAAGTCATTTGTACCTTAAAAACACAACTTTAGGGGCTGGAGAGATGGCTCAGCGGTTAAGAGCACTGAGTGCTCTTGCCAGAGGATTTGGGTTTGAGTCCCAGCACCCACATGGCGGCTACAAACCATCCTTAACTCCAGTTCCAGGGGAATCTGAAGCCCTCTTCTGACCTCTGCAGCATTGTACGACATGGGTGCACTCACATACATGCAAGCAATACACTCACACACATAAAATAAAAATAATAAATAAAATATTTTTTAAAAAACCCACAACTTTATTCATAAGTTCATTCTGAGGCATAAAAAAGTAATGTATGGATAGAGATGGAATGGGAGCTCAATGCTGTCAGTCATTACAGATGGGAGCTAGAAGCACAGTGTCCATGTGCCAGCTCACCCCACTGCCCCTGTGCTGGCATCTCCCAGGATGTCACAGCAGCTGCTGTGGGACTGAGATGGGACCTGAAGAGATTTCCTACTGTTGTTATCAGAGCTCAGAGTGAGTCTACCAGCTAGGACCCCACCTACATGCCCCCCTCCTGTGATGGTTAGTTTTAATTATCAACTTGTCTCAATGGAGAATCACCTGGGAAGAGAGTCTCAATGAAGGATTATCTAGATTGAAGGTTGGCCTGTGGGCATGTCTGTGAGGGATTTCTTCTCTTTCTTAAAAATATTTAATTTATTTTAATTTTGCTTGCATGTGTGTAGGTGTACCCACCAGGTGGATGCTGGAAACTCAACCAGGGTCCTCTGCAAGAGCAGCCAGTGCTCTTAACTGCTGAGTCATCTCTCCAGTCCTTATTTATTTATTTATTTATTTATTTATTTATTTATATGGGGGCACACATTCCAGTGTGTGTGAAGGTCAGAGGACAACTTCTAGTTGATTCTCTCCTTCTACCATGTGGGTCCCAGGGACTAAACTCATGTTGTCAGACTTGGTGGCAAGCTCCTTGCTAGCTGAGCCATCTCTGTACCCACCTTCCTTTTTTTCCTCAGTACTATGAACCTATGGCCTTGGACATGCCAGGCAAGCACCCTGATACTGGGCCATATTCCCAGGTCTTTGAGGAGCTTTAAAAGAAGAAAAAGACCAGGGTCCTGGGCCCTACTTGCAGGGAGCTTCAGTGCATTTGTCTGATAGTTGTTTTGGAGCTCCAGGTAGTGTCACCTATGAACTAGCAAGGACAGTGTTCACAGATGAAGCCACTGTGTGCACAGCAGGACACCTGAGTGGGTCTGAATAAACTTGCAGGGTCAGGAATGGCCTGGGAAGATCCAGGTCTTGACCACCACAGGAGGAAGCTCAGAGCTTCTGCAGGTGACAAGGCTGCTGTGAGCTCCCTTTGCTCCCCGTGAGGGCACAGTAGACATCCTCAGAGCATAATGAGCTGAAGGACAGTTCACCCAGGGGGGCTTTGAGGTGGCTGGAGTAATTGAAGGCTTGTGAAGGACAAGTGCCTTCCCTCCATACTTACTCAGAAGCACCACTGTCTTTGGGGTGGTCCTCAACCTTCTGTTCTGGGAACACCTTGAGAAGGAAGAAGGGAAGAAGCATCAAAAAATTTGTCACTATGGGGCTACAGAGATCGCTCAGCAGTTAAGAGCACTAGCTCTTCTTACAGAGGACCCAGGTTTGGGTCACAACACCTACATGGTGGCTAATTCTAGTTCCAAGGAATCTGAACTGGCCTCTGGGAGCATTGCACATAGCCTGTGCACATATATACATGTAGGCAAAATATTCACATACATAAAAATAAATATATTTTAAGTTGTCAATCAACTGTGTAGTGGATTAACACTTTGGCTTTATGGGACAGCCACCAGGATTAACCTAGGATCTGTAAACATCAGAATAGGGAAGGTTCTGTCCAGTTCTGGAGTCCTAGGTACCCACTTTACAGTAAAAAAAAAAAAAAAACTGAGGCTGTGGGAGGTACTTACAATGCTCATAAAAAGAGAAAGCAGAGCTGAGGCTAGACCCCTTGCCTCTCAGCTACCACCTCTCATGGTCACCCTATCTCTCACCTCTAGACTTCAACATCCCACTGCCCCCTAGAGTGAAACTACCCTATTTGCCACCTCCAAAGATCATATCACCTCCCAGCCTCAAGAGCCCTGTACCACCCCTTCATCAAGTATTCATGTTTAACCTGGGCATGGGGACTTATGCCTACAATCCCAGCACTTAGGAGGCTAAGGCAAGAGGAATAGCATAAGTTAAAAGCCAACCTGGGCTACAAAGTGAGATCTTGTCTCAAAATATGCATATATAGATTTAAGCAGCTAAATAATTGTTTTTTAAAAATAACTGTGAGCAGTAAATTTATGTTGCTTATAAATGACCCAGCCTAAAGGCATTTTGTTATAATAACTTGATGGGACTAAAATACAAGGATAAGGTAAAAATATCCTAAAAATCTTCTAGGATAGAAGGCTCAGGTAGAGACAGGTCAACTAGAGTCAAGAATGAGATGTCAAGCAGGCTGCTCAGCCACAGCCTGGAGACCATCGAATGCTCTAAAAACATGGGACAGAGTCATTTTGAATTCAGAGCACTGAATATACTTTTAAAATTCATCAGATATTAAAAAAAGCTAAAATTAGCTTTCCAGACATAGAAAGACACACAGTTTATCAACTGTGGTGGTTTGAGTAATTGACCACTTGGTCAGTTGGTGGTGCTGTTTTGGGAAGGTCAGTGGTACCTTCAGGAGGTGTGGCCCTGCTGGAGGAAGGAAGCACATTAATGGTAATGGGCTTTGAGAGTTCATAGTCACATCCCATTACCAGTCTCTGTCCTCTCTCTGTTCTCTCTCTCTCTCTCTCTGTCTCTGTCTCTGTCTCTTGCTCTCTCTTCTCTCTCTCCCTCTCTCTCTCTCTCTCATCTCTGTCTCTCTCTTTCTTGTCTCTGTCTCCTTCCTGTACTGGCTTGAAGATATGCCCGCTCAGTTTTCTGCTCCAGCCGCCTCCTTCCATACCTCCCCACGATGATGGACTCTTATCTCTCTGTAAAAGAGATAACTCTTTCTTCTATAAGTTGCCTTGGTCATGGTGTTTCATCACAACAATAGAAAAGCAACTAATACATCAACCATTACCTTTTCTGAAGAAACTCGTGTGTGTATGTGTGTGTGTGTGTGTTTAGTATGTATATGCATGCATGTGTAGGGCAAAGGCTGACGGGTCTCTCCCTCTTTTGATCTCCACTTTGTTATTTTGTTTTGTTTTATTTTAGTTATTTTATGTGTATGAGTGTTTTGTGTGCATGCATGTAAGTGCACCCATGTTGTACAATGCCTGTGGAGGCCAGAAGAGGGCATTGGATCCCCTGGAACTGATACAGTTGTGAGTGCTGGGAACCAAACCCAAGTCCTATCCAAGAGCAGCCGGTGTTCTTAACTGCTGAGCCATCTCTCCCGTCCCTTTTTTTTGTTTTGTTGCCAGGTCTCTCATGGAACCCAGAGTTCATGGGTTGGCTGAACTGGCTGGCCATCAAGCTCTGGGGATCCCTATCGCTGTCCGCTCAGTGATAGGGTTTCCAGGCATCTACCACCATGCCTGGGTTTTATGTGGGTGCAGGAGATCTGCAGTCAGTCCTCATGCTTACACAGCAGATTCTTTACCCACAGCAGATTTTTTCCCTAGCCCTTGGGAAAGGCATTTTAAAAGATTTTTCTAAAAAATCTGTCTGGATGTAGTGACATACACAATTAATTCTACCTACTCAGGTGTTGGGAGCTGTTAGTCTATTATGTACATTGAGCTGTGGCAGGCTTGTTTACTGAGTTTGTGTTCTGCACACCAGTACCTAATCTGCCAAATCAGGAGGAATGTGTTTATATGGAGAGCCTCATAATATCTGACCTGGAGGCAATAGTGGTAGACAAAAAGATCAAAGAAGGCTTTGAAGTATTTGACCCTCCTTGACCCTCAGATACAGGTGGGAAAAACAGCTGTTGAAACTAATTGAGTTCTTCTGTATAAAAAGGCGGAGCTGAAATAAACCAGGGCTGCAGTCTCTACTGACAGCCCTCCCAAGTATCTTTTCTGTCTCTTGTTTTTTCTTTCAATCCTCACTCCCCCTTTCAGGTACTGTCCATCTTGGCTGGCTGGCATCGGCACTCAGGAACCTGAGGCAGGAGGATCAGGAGTTCAAGGATATCCTCATCTACATAGTGAATTTGAGGCCAGCCTGGGCTATATGAACCCTTGTCTCATACCAAACCAGCCAGGCATGGTAATACATACCTTTAATCCCAGCACTCAGAGGCAAAGGTAGGTGGGATTTCTGTGAGTTCAAGGCCAGCTTGGTCTACATAGAGATTTCCAGGCCAGCTGGGGCTACAGGGAAGCCCTGTCTCAAAAAACTAAATAATAATAGTAAACAAACAAAATACCAAACAAAACACCCAGAAAATAAAACATTTTAACTGTGGCAAAATATGCATTACTTAAAATTTTCCTAGTTTAATCATTTTCAAGTATGTCCTTCAGTTAAGCACTTTCTTACTGTTATGCAACTGTCCCCACAGAACTCTTTTTCTTGCTAAACTGAAAGTCTGTCCCCACTAAACACTAACTTTCCATTGCCCCTCCCAGCCCCTGGTAACCACCATGCTGCTTTCTGTCTCTGTGAAGGTGATGACTCTGAGTACCCACACCCTGACAATCCTATGGTATTTGACCTTCAGTGATGGGCATATCCCACTGTCTTCAGGGTTCATTCATCTACAGTGAAGCATCTGACAGAACTTCCTTCTGAGGGCTGTATCCCAGCCCATGGTTAGCCCTCCTGCAGTCCACTTGTGACTTTTCCATCCACTCACCAGACATGAGGTTGCTTCCTGTCATGTTTAAACTATGGTGATAAAGCTGCTATGAATGTGGGTTATATCAATCTCTTTTCTGATGGCCAGCTTTTGATCCTTTGGGAATATACATAGTTTCTTCCTTACATTGATATCCACACTCCACCCTCACCCCAGCTTCTGGTACCAGTTTTATTTAACCATCCCGCAGCCATTTTTTTTTTTTTTTATGAAGCCTTCCTACTTGGATGCCTTTCTTCCTGGTCAGTTTCTGATGGAGTCAGCTTCTGCTGTCTCCACACAGCTGCTTCTCCTCTCATGACTGTAAGGTTTGTTACAGTTTCTGCAATCAGGCATGTGACAGAGTGAGAGGATCCAAGATGGAATCCAGTATGTACATCACTCCCTGGTCCTGACTGGTCTCCTCACTCTATCATAGGGGGACCTGATTGCTGCTAACAGGAAGTCCCTGCTGCCCCTAAAGGCAGCCAGAATGACAAAACCCCATTGCCATGTGTACTGTGCTCCTAAAACTGGGTACAGAAGAAGAGTCACAACCTTGCACTCTCTCTAATGGTTACATCTGTTCAATTTTCATCCTCCTTTCTCTTTGAACCTATAGTTTAATACATGACACATTTTCTAGCCAATTTTTTTTAAGTCTTGAACTTGACTTTCTCAGGTGGCAAATACATTAGCTACCTCCTGGAACATGCAGCTTGCCAGAGCCAAGGAGAAAAGGCAAAGATACAGAGCCTCCTACCTCCAGCCCACTGGCTGCCTGCCACCAGCTGTTCCCACACACATCTGGACCTGAGGAGCCTGCAGAGCCTGGGCTGAGTCCGTGGGAACTGGGTTGAGTTCAGGGTGTGCATATGTAGGGTGTGCATATGCTTGCAAGCATGTACACTGGGGTAGAAGAATGAACATCATCCCTCATGATCCCAGGGAGGCTTTGGAAAAACCAAACAAGGGACAGAAACATGAGGAGTTGAAATCAATGGTTTCTTAAGGTCTCTTAGACTCTTATGAAAAGGGGTGTGTGTGTGTGTGTGTGTGTGTGTGTGTATGTGTGTACAGGTGCTGCATGATATGGGTGTACTTACACACATACAGGCATGACACTCATACACATAAAAATAAATCAAAATTATTTTTTGATTTATTTATTTTTATTTTACGTGTGTGTTGCCTGCATGTATATAAATGCACCACATACATGCAATGCCTGTAGAGGCCAGAAAAGGATATTGGGTCACCTGGAACTAGAGTTACAAATTACCCACCATGTGGGTACTGGGAACTGAACCCAGGTCCTCTGCAAGAGCAGCCAGTGTTCTTAACCTCTGAGCCACCTCTCCAGCCCCGACATGTGAAGGTTTAATTGTTACTTTTTAGAACTCTATTGCCTATTTTATTTACCAAAATACATTATATTCTGCTTGATCTAGTGAATTTTCTCCCCTTAATCTTTAACTGCTTTGTGTGTATACCTGCACACATATCAATTACGCATATAATTGACATAGAACAAACTGCAGGTGGTTAAAGAATACAACGTGGTAAGTTCTGAATATACACATGAGTAGATATACATCCCATTAAACCCACTAAACCACAGGCACAAAACTCTAGCCAAATTCACGCTCCCCAAAACATTCTCATCCCCTCTCCTAGTGCCTCCTTTCCTTCCTGCCTTTGTCCCAGGCACCCCCTG